ACTAGTATTTGGTTGAGTCGCACTAAACAGAGGGTCCAGCATCAGGTCCCCTACTGAATGAAGCATTTCATTTAGCAGTTTAACAGCCTGATACCGTTTCTGTTATTTCTTCACATGTTTATGTCATTGGGGTCTTTTCTATCTGAGAGGGTGAGTGTATGTATTGTGCACAGTGACGGCTGACGGGCACAACAAGAGGACACAGTGAAATAAAATCTATTGGTCTAGCAGTTTGTGGATTGATGTGTAGCCCGCTTTCCCTCCGGCTGCATTATCATTCCATTTAAGAAGTTGGTCCTTGAATTGAATAATGTCCTTCATTGCAGTGACTCTGGAGGCATAACTGACCAAATATGCAAATAGGACACAGTGAGACCTTAAAAAGGTTTTCTTAATGCTTAACATGCTTGCACCACATGGTGTTAGTCAGCTGAATGTGTGTCTGTCCACAGCTCTGTGCTCTGTGCACAGGGACACACTGATGCTCCGGGGAGGAAGACAACACTCTGATTGGTATGGGAGAACATCTCCACATGCAAATCAAACGGCGACTCAGCAGATACAGAGACGTTTCAGGTCACAGTGTGTCACAAGACGGACACACTGTGTCCCCTGATATGCATCGTGGCACATTTACATTTAAAGATATCACCAGAAAGTGACCGCTGAGAGATAAAGGAAAGGAAACAGGTTTAACTGTATGAATGCTTGCTCTGTTATCGGCCCAGTCTAATGATGTTTTCCCCTAATCTATAGAAATGTGGCTCATGCTGTCAGCACTCGATCTTCAAAGGGGATAGACCTTTTAGATTTGCATGACCAGTCGTCTTCCATCAAGAGCCCCCCTATCAGGGCAGCTGTTGAGCCCGGCTACTAATACAACTCAAAGAGCAGCACTCCCTGAGATGGAGCACACACATGGAAACATTAGGAATAAATGTTCATTTAAAAAATGGAAAAGTTGTAAAATGTGAATTATGAATCACAGTTATTATTAGCTGCAGCAGTATTTGTTGTTTGTGGTGCGGTTACATTTGTTTTTGAGCCACATGACTAACTGCTGTGTAGCAGAGTGCCATGGTGATTTTGTTGTTTTTCTCTCTTTGTGTCTGGCACAACATATTTCATCAGCCCCCATCAGAGATAAAGATTCACCTGGGCTCAGCGTGACATTCTGAAAGATACAATGTGATGAAAACCTTTAAACTCAAGGACATGCAGTGTGTGTGTGTGTGTGTGTGTGTGTGTGTGTGTGTGTGTGTGTGTGTGTGTGTGTGTGTGTGTGTGTGTGTGTGTGTGTGTGTGTGTGTGTGTGTGTGTGTGTGTGTGTGATCGGTTCCTGAGGGCATAACTGACAAAGATGTGATGCGTAAGGGGCTGCACCGTAGGAAATAAAGAACTAGCTGTGATTATTTTGACTGTTATTGTAATAACGACAATATGACATGAATTACAATATTTGAACATTTTTGCAACATTATTCACATTTCGTTGTAAGATATACTGTATTTAAAATGATTTGTGATTCATTTTAAGAAGATAATTGCAATTAAGTCTGTAGAATACGATTAGAGGGCCATGACGTCTATACAATTAATTTAGGACAACACTTGTCAAGAAATATGGCACCTCCTGCAATTTTAGTATTCCAGTAGCCCTTATTGGGATTCTGAATACATTTCGATAAAGTCTTAAAAGCATTACCACAGAGAATTATACAAAGGAAAATAATAGTAGAATCTATTTATGACAGAGTAGTGGAAATATTGAAGATCAAATTACAATGTGAGGGGTGGTTGCTAATTCTGGAGCCCTTCAACCCCACATTTGTGCAGATATAAAAATAAAACATACTTATTGGCTTGGTTAGTTATTGTTAAGGTAAACATACTATTATTTGATGATAATTGACCATAAATCAGCTCTACTTCTACTTCTTTGGTGTGTTACCCTCAGTAGCCTCTAGATGTCACTGCTCTGTGACTCAATTAAGCTGAGCTTCTCTGTAGACCCACTGAAGCTGAAAGGAGGGCTCACACACACACACACACACACACACACACACACACACACACACACACACACACACACACACACACACACACACACACACACACACACACACAAACAGGGGCTAAATCCCAGCTTGATGAGTTTGCTGTGAATCTGGAGGTCAGCTGATACTAGCTGTGTGAGCCACACTGTAGCTACACACACTGTCATTGAATTAGTCCTGTCACTGCTATGTGTGCATCTGTATTCATTGTTGAATACACTTTTCCCCAAGGTTTTAAACTTAAGTGTTATTAGCCCTGATGTAAGGCAAGTTTATTTATATAGCACATTTCAACACAAGGCAATCCAAAGTGCTTTACAATAATGAAAAACATTAAGAGCATTAAGAAATAGTACAGCGGAAACACATTATAAAGTTACATTTAAAAACATTCATTAAAAAGCAAAGAGAATAAAATGAACATAAAGAAATATGGATACAAGTTACTGTGCAGTATGAGATAGGAAAAAAGAAAAGTCTGCAGCCTGGATTTAAAAGTAGTAAGAGTTGCAGCGGACCTGCAGGTTTCTGGGAGTTTGTTCCAGATATTTGGAGCATAATAACTGAACGCTGCTTCTCCATGTTTAGTTCTGACTCTGGGGACAGAAAGCTGACCAGTCCCTGAAGACCTGAGAGATCTGGATGGTTCATAATTTAGCAGGAGGTCAGAAATGTATTTTGGGCCTAAACCATTCAGTGCTTTATAAACCAGCAGCAGTATTTAGAAATCTATTCTATGACAGGAAGCCAGTGTAAAGACTTCAGAACTGGAGTGATGTGATCCACTTTCTTAGTGTTAGTGCCAAAGTGTGAACAGAACAGATGCTGTTTGAGGTGAAGAGTTTAACCTCTGGAGAGCATGAATGTGTTCATAAACATTGATGACAAATAGTGGCACAATGTAACTACCCAACACTTGTTGTGTTCCACCGGTATGACAGGAGGTCATCACAACTGATTCCTCCTCTGGGGACCCTCAATATCAAGTATAAGGTTATAGAAGTCCAGCCGGTTAGTTTTCAAGACTTGTTGCCAATTTGCCATGGACCCAAGTGCCGATCAAAACCAACATGCAGACAAAAATGTATATCACTGAATATATGCGATCATGTTCATGCTGTTATGTTATACTGCAGTGTAACTTCTAACAGCCCCTCCCCATTGTATCAACATAGAGGTGGAGGAATAGTACATTCCTAACTGGGAAGATGATGTAAGGTTTTAATTTGGCATTCTTCTATGCAGATCTGTATCGATATTTATAGAGTTTACAAGACAGCTGTGTGTCTGTCATTTAATTTGTATAATGCTTAAGTGATGTATTCAGTAGTTTAACTTTGAGACCATTGAGTATGGAAAGGTCAATGACAAGATTTCAGTAAAACCCGAGTAATTTTGACTATCGTTAGGTTAATGTCTGCAGTTTTACTGTCATTTACCTTTTATTTTAGAGTTAAGGCGCAGCTGTGAACTCATAGTTGCTGACAGTTGCTTCTGAATTCTGGATTCTGTAAAAAAGAAAAAAAGTCATATGAATAAATGAATTGATTAAAATGTGTATTCTATAGTAACACTTAAAAAACATATAGGAGAATTTGTCTTCAAAGGGTGCAAACTGGAGTTTTATTAAGTGTAGACAGAGAATAGAGTTACATCACAACTGTCCACAGTGCCATTCATCCTCAATGTGTCAGAGCAGGACACACTGCTCACAGATTTGAGTCTGTTTTCTCCCTCCTTGTTGTCATATTTCATCCTTCATATATTAGTAGACACAATATCATTACATATTGTGACACCAGCTAAATAACTCACATTATTCCTATCTCCAGCCTAAATATAATAACTATTTACACAAAATAACAAATAAAGAAAACTATAGGAAATAATAGGAACTCATCCAACTAAAGTACATACAAGAACTCAAGTCAAGCTTAAGCTCAATAAATATAGTTCTTTTTTTGAGGGTTCCACCAAAAGCTGTGATGACATGAGGGATTAAGGAATTACATTATTTGATAGTCACCCAAGGATTAGGGACCATTAGAATAATTACAGCCAAATTCATCCGGATTGACATTTCTAATCATGAGCATCAATAAAGCCACCGTTTTTATCATTTGACAGGTTCGGTGTGATTGATAGAAAAGACGCAGTTCCCTTCATAAGAGAAGGAGATGTAGGGCACGTTTAGCAAGGAAGACATTTATGAGCATGTATATTTTGTGAAGCTATACATTAGCAGGCCATGTGGACCAGAGGTGGGAGAAGTACTCAGGTCTTGTATTTCAGTACAAGTAGTACCAGAGTATAGGAATACTCTGTTACAAGGAAAAGTCCTGCATTAAAATGTTTATCCAAGTAAAAGTACAAAAGTATTACTATCAAAATATAGTACTCATTATTCAGATTGGTCCATCTCAGAATAATATATATGATAAGTTTTATAATGATTGATAATTAAAGTGTTCTCAAAGCTGGTAAAGGTGCAGCTAGTTTGAATGACTTTGTATACTGCAGGGTAGCTGGTGGATTTACTCCAGGTGGAACTAAAGTCTGATTCAACACTTGATTAGATTTCACATCATTCATCCACATCTGTAAAGTAACTAAAGGTATTAAATACATGAAGTGGAGTAAAAATACAACATTTACCTCTGCATTTTAGTGGGTTATAAGCAGGGGGAAGAAACTAAGTACATTTTCCTCAAGCACTGTACCTAAGTAGGCTACAACTTAGTACTTTTACTCCACTACAATTCAGAGGTAAATCGTGTACCCCCCCGTTGACAGTTCACGAGCGCGTCCATAGTGTCTCTCCCCCACCCCCGCCGCCCCGTCCACCCAGTAAAAAAAATCCCCACTACACCACTGGGCAAAGTGTTACCGTTCTCAGTAAATATAAAACAATGTTTCCAAATGAAGGAAACGCGAAATGTGTGTCCCATGATAGTTGTGCTGTAGTGGCGGCGGCAGTGAGCCGTCAGTAGAGCTGTCGGTCGGACGGACCTCCCTCTTTGTGCTGCCGCCTCGGTAGGCTGTCCTGTCCGCCCGGAGAAACCCCAGCTTGGCTGCGAGGAGGGCGGAGCTGCCCTGGCTGTCACAAAGACATGTTTCATTAAAAAAACTAGCCACTACGCTACGTACTGTCTCTATTTACACGGCTTTCTTTGGGCTTAACATCGACGACAGAGCGCTCGTTCAGCCGACTCGAGCAGAAGCAGGATGCCGGTGAAAGGCGGAGGAAGACTGGCCTCTTACCCGAGCAAGAGCGAAAATGTCGGAGTAAGTGGCGCTGTGCTGTATGTTTGACATGTGTGAAGTTACACTTGGTAACATGTATCAAGTTTGCCATAACGTCCACACGTTTTGTCAAATCATTTTACCGGCCTTGTTAAGTGTGTGCGTATGTGTCCTTTAAAAACATGCCGAAGTGGCTGAGGCTCGGTCAGGCTGTGAGGTGCATATCGGCCAGCCAATAGTCAGCGTGTCAAACACCTGTTGTGCTTCAGGAGAGCCAATAGAAAGCCTCGTTACATAATATTTGCTCTGCTGGTGTTTCTGTTCGCCTGAAACCTGAGAAAACTGCTCGAACTTTCATCTTGTTTTATCCAGTGGTGAGAGTTGGTGGCTGTAATCCTGTCCAGATTGACATCTGGGATTTGATGGGGGTTCTCTGGAGATTAGAAGGTCACTGGATGTAATCAGTAGTCCAGAAGGGGAAGTGTGTGTGAGGAAAGTGAAGGTCATGCTGCCAGTGAGAAAGTCACCTAACCTGTCCAGCAGCCACCTGTGGAGTCAACATGTGTGTGAGATCACAGCAGGCACAGGACACAGAATAAATACTTTCTCTAACATTCCCAGTGCCAAGTTTACAAACAGTTGATATGTCTACTGTGTGTGTGTGTGTGTGTGTGTGTGTGTGTGTGTGTGTGTGTGTGTGTGTGTGTGTGTGTGTGTGTGTGTGTGTGTGTGTGTGTGTGTGTGTGTGTGTGTGTGTGTGTGTGTGTGTGTGTGTGTGTGTGTGTGTGTGTGTGTGTGTGTGTGTGTGTGTGTGTGTGTGTGTGTGTGTGTGTGTGTGTGTGTGTGTGTGTGTGTGTGTGTGTGTGTGTGTGTGTGTGTGTGTGTGTGTGTGTGTGTGTGTGTGTGTGTGTGTGTGTGTGTGTGTGTGTGTGTGTGGTAGGAGAGAGGCTATTGAGATTATGGTCATCCCAATTGTGTGTGTGTGTGTTAGAGTCTTACACACTGAAGCAATCCTCTTAACCAAGGTATTCTAACAATTTGTCTTAAACTCAGCCTGTTCTCCCAATGATCACACGCACAGTGTATAGCAACTGTTCTCTACGTCTCCTCCCTTCTAACTGTTTATACAATAACTTCAAAGACATGCTTGTAGAAGTAAACAGGTCATGTCCTTAAAATGTAATCTCTTTCCTTGTGAAATATCCTATGAGAGTCACAGCTGAGGTTCAAGCGTCATTTGAAAAGTAGGTATAAAGAGGAGTGGAGGTGCCAGCTGATGTGTAATCACAGACCATCTCTGTCAGAGAGTAACAGATCAAAGTTGAGGATTTTGGCGTTTAAGCAGTAAAAGCTGTTGAAATGCTGATTGAAGTGTAAGCCCCTGGAGCTGGTTGAAGTGTGTGCACTATAAGCAGTGAAGTGTCAGTTGTATCGCTGACGGAAGCAGTGCAGGAGATGAGCTCTCAGGAACAGATGTTCTTCTCCTTGTTCAGACGACTGACTGGTGAGTGAGTGTTGATCAATGAGACGCTGCTCAGTAAAAATACTAAACTGTACTTAACACAAATCCACTATACTTCCTTATTCATAATTCCTGTTCCTTGTCTAATCTAGTCAGTGCACATTGTTCCGAATGTGGCACAGCACATTCATGTATTATGGAAAATGAAATCACCCAGCAGCCTCTCCCCTCTGTGTATCATCACTGTTCACAGAATGAATCATCACCATCCAAGAAATCTATGACCTATCCTGAGTGTCGTCAGGTTTCTATCAATGCTCCCATGATTCAGTGGGGTTTGTTCATCAGATCCATTCTGTCTTTGAGCTACAGTGACGTATTCACACCAGCACAGCTGCTGACGGTGAACAGGGAGAGCATTCACACGCTGCCTGGCACTCATCACATAGACACTGGCTGGCACAGTCACACACTCATGCACTATTTCTATGGAAACAGAATAATGCGTGTCTCTTGGAGATGTTGAAGCTTAATGTTAACACTAACTGGCACAACTCTGGCCAACAGTGTCACTTTTATTTTGAATGTCTATAGAGTGCTGCTGTGATGACATTTTTGTTAGCCATCTCAACTGTTGGCAACGAGAAGGCTCCCTAGACATGGAGGAGTCAATGCGATTCTTCCATATATTATGGAATATTGCAGAAAGTAACAAATGTGATGATGCTTACTTACTTTTTAAGCAGGATAATCCGAATTCCTTTATTCGTCCCACAGAGGGTACATTTACATTTTTAAAGCAAAATATAGATAGAGATGAAGAAAATAATAACACACTATTGAATAAAAGGCATGCACATAGTATTTCAAATACAATGAAATATAACATTTACAGAAGTACACATTCAGGGAAAATAAGTAAGTAAGCAGTATTTATAGAATAAGTGTAACATTGTAGAATGAGGTTTGGTAGCGGGTTGATTGCAGTATAAAATAAAATAATATATTTACATAGTAAAATACAGATTCTTGTTGGAATAGCCTTACTAAGAAGTAGCAGCCAGTATTCATAATCATTTTAGCTATGAACATGTTGTACATAAGTGTTGTTGCACCGCAATGGTGTCATAATCTCCACTTCTTAACGCCACTTGTAAAAGTTGAAGCATAAACACAAACGGCAGATGCAAATAGCTAATCTAATACCATAAAGTAACTACATCAGGGTTGTATGACTTTACTTCCTCAACGCTAAGCTAAAGGCATATTGACGTTTTGTAGCCTCATTACATCGCTTGTTAGCAACCCCTTTTTTAAGACACATTAAAACGTTATACATTCAGGAGTGGTCTGTCGTATACTAATCATCTCGTAAGCTTATATTAACCACACACTTTATTTTAGGCATCTAACCGAAAACACAACTTCCAGACGACACAACCCAGGTGTTAAAATGCTAACAAATGTCCACTTTATTTATCTGTTGGCTTTGGATTTAAAGGGCTATATCAGCTTACTTGTGTTTTGGAGTTCTACTCAGCCTGTGAAGAAAGTGAATGTCTTCTTATAGCTTTTCTTTAACATCTCTTGACATCTTACACAAAAGTTTCAGTTTGAACCATTCTTCCAAGTCAATTCATTGTTTCAGTCTGAAATTGGTGAAAATGCCTATCAACATTTCCCAGATCCTCTTCAAATACGTGTTTTATCTGATGAGCTTCCAATTTATTTTATATAAATAAACCATTATGTGACTAATCATTTCTTCTTGGAGCAGTTGTTCCGCCCCCTCCTCTCTGCATTACGCTGATTTGCTCCCCCCATGGTGCCTCATGTCTGACTGTTAGACATAACAGTTAACTAATAATGTTTTGGTGAGTGAGGGAATGCCAAAGTGTGGCTGTAGAGCTTCCCTAAAGTATCATGTTAGATGTGCTCGGGTCTATGAACCCCCTCACCTTCTCCCTCTGCAGCCCCCACCCCCAACCGGTTGTGCAATACACAAACACTATAATTAGACTGCTCACATTGGGGATAATATAAAAGTTCGAGGCGGTTTTTGGCTGAAGACCAGCTCCTCATAAAAATGCTGTGGGATTGTTGGCATACATTTGTACTGAGCAGACACGTGTCTTTTGATCTAAAGTTTGTAAGGAATACTGTTAGCTGATCCAGTTTACCTTGGCCATGTGCTCACCTTAGGGGTGTGAGATATCACTTCACATGACATGTCTCCATGCTTTAATGTTCAAAAAGCTCTTTATTTGTCTCATACTGCCTGTGCTGCAGCACCTCTTTTCACCCTCTGTCTGAAACCATGATTGGTTAGCTGGCCAGCTCTGTTGTGATTGGTCAACCACTAATGCCCCTTTCACACCAACGCGTTTTCAGGGCCGGTTCGGAGCTGGAGCTTGAAAAGCACCGGGTTTTCCTGTTCACACCGCAGCGGAGCAGTCGCTTAGCTCCGGAATCCGGTTCGTTTCAAGCACCAAGAAATTGTCCGGCTGGAGCAAAAGCACCGCATCACGTCACGCTTACGTCGAGGCGGGGGCAGGGGGAATCGGAATCGTCGTTGAAGTTGATGATTACGAAATAAGCAGTTTTGAATGTAGCATGTAACGACTGTAAAGTTGGTAGTAAAGTCGTCCCATTTCTTCCATTTCGTTTCGACAGAGCAAAACCAAACGAGTAGCGCTTCAACACAATCGGTCATTGTTGTTGTTGTCGGTGTGAGCTGTGAGGGGTTTCCGCGCGGTTTGGCTTTATGAAGCAGGCACGCAAATGGTTACGTCATGACGCAAACGATGACGCAATGACACAGCAGCAGTCGGACTCTGGGCGGTGTGAAAAGAGCCGGAGCTAAACCGAAGAACCGGTTCTGAACCTGAAAAGCTCTAGCACGGAGCTTGAACCGGAGTTGCGTTGGTGTGAATGAGGTATTAGCGATGCCCTGCCTGCATTTCACCTAATGTTGGAGCGCCAGCCAATAGAAGCGTGAATGTTCATTGCAGACCATTTACATGCACTAAAACCTATAGAACACACTACAGGAAAAGGAGAATCCTAAAAAGCACAATTGTGCCACTTTAGCTTTACCATATTAATTCTCATAAAACAATGTTGAACTTATTAATAGTTTACAGCAAGGCAGGCTCAGATTGATGTAGGATGCTGGAAGTTACAGCAACTACTATGATCAGGGCCGGTCCTAGACATTTTGGTGCCCTAGGCGAGATTATGATTTGGTGCCCCCCCCCCCCTCCAAACAATGCCTGATAAGTCAACATCCCCCACTTTCATCACATCCTACAGGCCAAAGGCAAAATGTTGCCGGCCCGGGGTGCAAAGGGTGTTTACTTTATTCAATTATTAATGTAAATGTATTACATCAAGGGCAGAAAATTAGGCAGAATAAAACATTTGTTTTAATTCATTTTACATTTTTTAAAATTATTATTATTTTTCTCCCAGCGCAGTGCCCCTCCAGATCTGGCGCCCTAGGCGACCGCCTATGTCGCCTATGCCAAGGGTCGGCCCTGACTATGATGAATGCAAATCACTGTTCTGATTGCATAAAACA